GAAACTGAATTTCCAGCAGCTTACAAACCAGTGTAGAAAAATAAAGAGGTATAAAAAAAAATACAGTACAAGATAAAACAGTATAAACAATAAACTCTTTGCTATGATTGTGACCTCCTTTGTTGCTGGTGTTGAGCTCTGTTGATGCTCTGCAATGAAACAAAGTGCTACGGCTCTAAAAATAATCTTTATATTATATTATGTGTTATAGTGGTCAAATGTGTTAATATTGAATCTGTGCTAATAAGTAAACTCAGCTTCAGATAACAATTTTCAATTACATAGTTATTATCTTTGATCAAGACTGAAATCCTCTAATTATTTCTGTTTTCTGCATTAATGTTGACAGTAACAGAGAAAAGACACTGAAGGAAGTTATTCTCACTGCAATTACACTGAAAAGTAAAAGTTACATTTCCATAACTATTTTAATGGTACGAGCAATGATTTTGCATAGTCATAGTGGGATTTACATATCTTGGAATGCAAATTACAAGTTCACTTCCTTTATGTTTTTCTTTAACTTTATTTTTTCAGTAAGTGAAATCTGATTTCCACCGGTGAAGACCTTTTCCAAAGCCCCCTCCATTTGAAACTACGTTTTCTATCACTTTGGAGAGACTGAATGTCTCTTTTATTTTGTAATCAGGCACTAATTCACAACTTTGCTCATTTGTACGACCCACAAGACAAAACTGTCACCCTGTTATCACTCCATCAGGCCAAAGGAGCATATTTATAATTAATATAATATAAGATACTGTATGTAACCTACAAATAAACTAATGTGAATGAAAACACAAGAACAATGTAATGACAAGCACAACTCTGCACAGCGCTGTCAAACATTGTGAGTGTGTCTCCATAGAAACCTGATATAATGCACACCAGTAAACACAACACACGTTGAAGCTGCTGTTTATGTATTACACATTAATAACAGAAACAAAGTGGAGGTCCAGCACTGGATTTCACAGATGAGTGGTGGGACTCCTATACTTACTGTAAGTTATTCATAGTCCACCTGGATTAATGTCAACTACCAAAGATTACTACATAATAGTGGCCACAAGGCCTTGATGTGCTCTCCTTGTGACAAACACTGTGTATAAAAATACTTCTCATGTTTCAAATTAACTTCCAAGCATCTGGCAATCATTGTGAAAACCTTTTAATCCTTTTAAGTTACCTCGAACCCCCTCCCACTCGTCTGCCTTTGGAAAAAAAAACTTCCATTTCCAAAGATTTTGTCTGATAATATTCAAAACGTGAAACGTACACAACGAATTTAAACCTAAACCCTTTCATTTCTACCCACCTAAGCTTGAGATAACACAACAGGGTCTGGACTCAGAGAGAGGG